ATTATATATCTAATATTATTTTCCTTTTTTATTCCATTCGATACTTGAACGCAGTAAAATATACCCGCCGACTTTCAACAGAATACCCGCCGGAGCTCCGGCGGGTGCCGGGTCTTATTGAAAGCACTGTAAACGAGTGCAAAACAAAGACTTTCAGCAAGAGAACCATGCAAGGGTATTGCATTTGGAAGAATATAAAAGGTTAGCAAAAAATTAAATGGTGGTTCGGGAAGTGAATCCAAAAAATTGAGTCAAGTGCAAAGAGGTCGAACAATAGACAACTACTGGAAAAAAAGTAACATTTTCCAACAAAAGTCATATTGTGCTCGGTACAAACAACCACGTTTACATTTGGTGAAAAGAGGACGAAAAGTACAACCCACACAACTACTTTGATGATCTGGAGATATATTTGTGTTGATGATACTGGAACTCTGACTGCGGTTAAAGGCAACATTAACTCTCCAAGTACATATTGACTTCCTAGACAGGAACTTCTGGCCAGTAGTTGTCTGGTATGTTGAAGATAAACACTACTTTTTCATGGATGACAATGCACCTGTTCACAGAGCCCACACTGTAAAAAAGTATAAGATCAAAACAAAGTAACCTTTATGGAATGGCCAGCATAATCACCATATTTACATGCAATAGAAAATACTTGGCTGTACCTGAAAAGTGAGCTACAAGAGTCTGTGGTAAATATCACGACCGAAAATGATCTGTGTGAAATCCAGAGCGTTTGGCCGAAGATCAAATTGGATTATATAAGAAACCTTTACCAGTCCATACCCGAACGCCTAGACAATACAATAATCTCAGATTAGGAAGTGTGTTCGAGCTTTTTGTAGGTTAACTGTCAAATGTGACATTATTTGCTAATAAATTAACGCTGCAGTACTAATTGATATGGACAGTGTGAGGTTTTGATAACGTGTGTGACAGGCGATCAAAGAAGAAGGTTAAGGTGGCATGTAGGCTTTAACACGAGAGGGGAAAAGGATGGAGGGAAAGAGGAAGAGAAACCCTTCTGTGCTGTTCTTTTGGTCTTCTTGGTTTTTTTGCATCTCTAAATTTTCCCTTTTCTCTTCCTGTTTGAAAGCACGTTACGTGGGCTATGTCTTAATAACCATTGTTAGCACTACTACTGTACCACAGTGTACCTTTTTATGACTTTTTAAAGAGGTTGTACTGTACTGTAACAAAGAACTGTGAATGAGTCCAGTTTCTTGTATTTTAATGGAATGAATATGAAGTTCAACAGTACATTATAAAACTGTTTTTAAAGAATGTTTAAAGGAGATCAATGTAAATTTGAATGTTGAAAAACTCCACATAGTAGTCTGTCATTTTTAAAGCGGCTAACTGTTAATGAACGATAAGAGCGTCACTCTACAGATTTAAATGTGAGGAGACTGTTACAAAACTTTGTTGAATATCCTTTTCAGTATAGGTTACTGGGTGCAAGTTTCTGAATCACAACATTTTCAAAACTTCCAATAATATCTTGCAAATGGTCTGGTTTCAGTACAAAGCAACTCTGTGAAAACGGCTAGTGAACAACATTTACATGCTGTAGGCTAAGATTTGGAAAATGGCACTTTGTAAGCAAAATGAACAATAACATGGTGGAACGGTGTAGTGATGCAACAAAACACTAACAAGACTTGCACTGTCCTACACGTATGTTACAATAGGACTTATGTCAAGGGCAAGACAACAATGTTTCAGCTTTTAGTTTCTAACATATTTTAATGGGATCAATGTCGATGAGTTTGTGGAATTGCATGTTGTAACTTAACTTTGCCATGTCAATGGCCAACAGCGTCTTAAGGACTTCATCTTCTTCTGGTTCTTCATGTAATCCGGATAGTGCAAACAACTTGAAACTATTTGTTTACCAAGAATATTGAGGTTAATCTTTGTGTTTCTTTCTTCTTGGTTTTCAACACACAGTCTGTGGCTCCACTGGACATTGCAAGGGGTTGACTTCTGTGGAATCTTGCAACTTTCACAGAATGCAACCTTTCCTTTTATTGTTACCTTCGAAATGCAGTTACAGCATGAACTGTACCTGTTAATACTGCTTATTCCTAGAATATGTACGGTAATCTTTTTGGAGGTTGAGATTTTGTCCAGCTTTAGATGGTCTGCATAATTGCCCCAAAGGACAATTTTTGCGGTTCCTTTTATCAGAATTTTCTTTGTACCTCCTGCATAGGCAAGGTAGTCCTTTATAGGGACAAGTTGCTCTGATCTGGTGTAGCATTGGCTAGAGATTGGACTGATGTGACATCTTCCTGGCCTTCATACTTGCAGCCAGTGGTTGTTGGTGCAATTGTTGTGTGTTTGTTTATAACCACATCTTGTCTTCCGTATTTTGTACTAAGGCTGTATTTTTTAGCTTGACTGGTGATTTCTGGTTCTGAATGGCTTTCAGGGTGTCTTTTTTTCCACTGCAAAACATTCACCTCATTAAGTGTCAGTTTGTGTCTGGAGATTGCAGTTGAAATAGTTGACATGTTCAGACTTTTTGACAGGTGATACTGAGTGAATGTAACCTGTTAATTCTTCTCTGGGAAGAGAAGCAAGTAAGTATCATTTTTAATAGGACCTTTGTTTTCCTTGACACAAAGGAATGCCTGGTATGATTTTAGAGAGTAACATCAGCTATTGTTTCTTAAAGGTGGCAGATAAGTAATTGATTATATAGCTAAACTTCTCCTTATGGACGTTTAACAACTAACAATGTTTATGGACATTTAACAATTAACAATTTTCTTGCCAGCTATAATGTCTGCTAGCAGCATCCAATCTTCTCTTTCTGTAACAGGTTGCAGTGACTGCTCATTCTGAGGTTCCTTTTCTTTGCTACTTTATACATTTTTTAATTTTTCATACCAGTGTAGTACATGTTGCTTTGCAGCTGTGCTTTCCAGAAACTCCCTTCATTTTCTTACAAATACTTGTTCAGTCCCTTCCTGGTCACCCCAAGCATTGTTCTGATTTGTGTGCCATGGTTTATACTTCAGCAACTGGTATTTACAGTAAAGTGGAAAGTTTTGTCATTTCACATTTGATGAGAGAGTTGGAAATACTCTAGGTATCATGTTCTCAGCCTGATTTATCAGCTTGTCATTTGCTACTTTGTAATTGTTTGCAATATTGATGAAATTCAGTTCCATGAAGTCAGGGACTTCTTTCACATATTTTTGGCCTTTGGAATAAGTGTCAAGAATAGAGTCATGAGTTGCAATATCTGCATCTGCTCTTTTAACGTTTACCCTACGAGAGCCGTTCAACTTTATGAGCACTACATTGAATGAGCAGCTTATCAGCAGTCAGAGGCAACAAATGGTGCATAACCTCTTTTGCAGAATAATCACGTCGACTGAGTGACTTCATAATAATTTTTTCATAAGTTTACAGTTTTGGAATTGTTGCATTGATTAATAAGAGAGTTGAATGCAACTTTGATTACAGAGTAGTTTGGTTCACTTTTAGAAGTATATTTTGCAAGGTACTCAACACAAGCATGATAATCTCTCACACCCTGAATGTCACAATTTCCTCTTTAACCTTGAAGTTGAAGTTGCTGGTGGTTGTTAAGTCTAGGGTCATTTCTCATTGTCACTACTTTAACTTTGTACTGTGCATTTCCAGACTTTGTATTTATAGCCTCAAATTGCAATTTGGTGTGGTCACAGTTTTCAAATGGGAATCCAAACCTGCACTTAAATTCAACTGATTTTGTTTTTTTTTTCGTGGACAGTATGCTGTACTGGATCGTGTATGTCTGTGAACTGTATTTAGTAGGCCAGCATAATCATCATACATTTCTGTATCAGTGTTGATGTCAACGTGACGTCTCTTACAGGGATGAATAGTTGGCATTACCCAAGTTTCATTACTTGGAGCGTTTGGATTATATGTAGATAGGAAACAATCTTCATAATCGCATAATGTTTGTGAAGCTTCTTTTCCTTCAGTGATGTCTTTCTTTAAATGTACAAAGTCTGCTTTATCAGCGTTACTAATTGCTTGTTCAGTTAAGAAACCTTTAAGAGCTTTTTCTGAAAGACCACAAAACCCTGGGTCGTTCGTAAGTTTTGCCACACCATGACAGTGAGTGCTTCCTCTAGCTTGGTACTGAAATCGGTACCAGTGCCACTCAGCATCAAGTGATTTATACAACCAGTACTTAACAAAGGTTTCTAGTCTTGATGCGAAAAAACAGTCAGTAATGTGTGGGTTGCTTATTACATTTTGACGGTTACATTCAGGTGATGGCAAATTTTCAGACGAATGACCAAAAAGGGCATGAAGGTCAGGCCAATGCATGTCTGCTGAGGAAGATGTGAAGAAAAATATTGGTAGCCCATCATGTGATATTACTTCCTCTAGATCTTCTTTAGCTTTTTGCCAGTAGGCATCAGAGCCACTGATATTACCAAGATAGTGAAGGTACTATATTGTTGGTTGATGCCATTGGTTTAATTTCTTCAGTGGTCAGATGTGCTTCTCCAGGATTCTGTTTCAGAAATATCCCTGTTTGTTGAAGAATATGCTTTCTTTGAGTCATATTAAATGCCCAGTAGGCAAATCTTGGGTGTGTGGCAAAGCGATAAACCCACTGGGTACCTTTTTTTCCCTCCAAACTTGATGAGGTGTTTGACTCTTTCTGCGAATGATAGATCTCATAACAAAGCTGGGTTGGTAGGATCACCACAAGCATCAGGAAACATTGTTGGAAAAGCAAGAGTCGCCAAGAGGGGAGTAATATACTCATTTACTGGTTCATGTCCTGCTGTTGGCCTTGTTATGTGATTAGGTTGTTGACACAGGTGTTGCTGAATAGCTTATGCTTCTTTTAATTGACAATCAGGAATTGGTAGGAAACTGTTTTTTCTGTTCCTTCTGTATAAATAATGTCATCCTCGTTTTGATTTAGAGCATCTATGTCAGGGCCATTAGTTGAGAATCATCAAAGGCTGCAGTTTCAACTGACCGAAGTTCATTTGGTATCCCATTGTCAGGCAAGGAACATAAGGAATTCTGATTGACAATGATGCCTTTGTAGTGTGGATTATTAGTTATTGGCCATTGCAATGCCTTAGCAACATTTTGTCTTCGAACAAATTAATCTTTATAGTTGTTGTCTTTGCCTTTTACCTCAACAATTATTACGGATAATTCCTTTGGATATCTTGGTTAAGTCTGTGCTAATTCTGAAACATTTTGTGGTAGGTTTATGCAGTAACTTGAAAATCCCCTTTGCCCACCAGGCTTTAAATAAACATGAATAAGGGGAAGTGCACATGCTGTTAGCATTTACTCTATTTGAGTCAGTCCCTGAAGTTTGGGAGGCACTGGTGATGGTACCATTTTATTCTACCTTGAAAACTGTTTTGGTTGTACTTTATCAGTTGCAAACCTAAGACAGTTATATTTGTCTCGACTGTGATAGGAACTTATAGGCCATGCATCGTAACAATGCTGCACCGATAAACTGAATGCTAGTTTGATTTTTGAAAGGCATTGAGGTTTCCCTTATTTGCCGGACTGCTCAGTGATGGAAGTATCAAATTCGTTGGATGTGAGGTCATCTACAAATGCTGTTCTGCATTTTCTTGTCTCGTTTTGCAAGTTTTTCTTGTGTTTGCTCATTACTTTCCTTTGAATACCTTACTTTGTATCTCTGCCTCTTATCTGTTTTTGTTTGCTCTCATTTGTTTGGTTTATGAAAAACATCAACATTTGTTTCATTTTCTGACTGCTCACTAGAAGTATCAAACACTTTGGACTTTTGCAGGCGTTTTCTTGCATATGCTTACCTCCTTTTTTCAATCTCCTCTTGCTTTTACTGAGTAGTTTCCTTTGAACACTTTACTTTGTGTCTCAGCCTCCTATCTGCTAGTCTTCGTTGTTTTCTACTGATTTCGTTTTGAGAGTTCAGTTTTCCACAGCAAGGTTCAAGCTTTCTCTTTAATTACCTAATTGAATTTAAAGTACCAATACTTTAATATCTTTAAACCGGTTTTATGAGCTGCTCACGTGGATAACTCAAGTAAGTCTCTCGAGTACGAGCTACCTTATGTTCATGATAGTGAGCAAAGTAAAACATGAAGACTACAATTGGGCATGCTTAATGGCAGACGAGCACACTGATTCGTTTCATTCAGATTGCCACCACAATGGGTAATGCACAATGGAAAATGAGCACGATGACTTGGTTTATTTTGTTAAAGACCTTAGTGGGTCATGGACAATTGCATACAAGAACAATGACTTGATCCATTTGGTTGGAGACAATAAAAGGTTGGCTTACCGTTGTAAATACAAAAACAGCGACGAAATGAAGTGAGCTGACAGAGACAAGTTTCGTCCTATGAACTCGACGCCAAAGATGTCGTTTTTACATGTCTTAGTAGTGTTGCAAAACGCTCTGAGGCTTTGACAAATAGTTGCCACGAATCCTTTAAACATTGTACAAGACAACTTACGTAGACAAAAGAAGCAGCCAAAATCAACAGGGCACACGATTGAGCAGTTGACCTTGTGGCAATTCGTGCGTAGTAATTACGCATGCATATAAATTAGAAATGGCGACAAAAATGGCACAAATATGTGACCAACCAAAGGAATGTGAAGAATCTGGCATAAAGTGCCTCTACTTCGGTAGCCGCGAAAACAAAATTGGTAACCTTGCCTTGAAGAATAGATTGCGTCATCGCACTAAATATTAAGGTAACTTTAAAGTTAGATTTGCTGAAAACGGTGCTGAAATTAGCGCACGTAAAATGTAAACAAATGCCGCCATATTGAAGGTGACGAATACTTATGTCCCTTGACTGTATCTTGGTTCCTTGTGTTAGTGTAACATATTGTCCTTCCCAGTTTGTTCCAAAGCTAGTAAGCTTGTTGTGGGAACCTCTATATACTGATGGTGTCTCATTTAATTTCTCAATTCTAGGTCTTTGGAAAATACTGTCCAAAGTTACTGAAAAAGGTAAGCCATTTAATAGCCCCCTTCAAGTAAAATGGGCGAGGGTCTTGTTCTTGAATGGTCAGAAGTGTTAGATACAATGATAAAACGGTGGAAGAGTCACCTAACCGAGCTACCCTGGGTGAGCCTTTTACATGACAAACAAAAAGGTTGGCCGGCTCAGTTAAAATGGCATGGTGCGTACAATCTTGAAAAGTCCTTGAATTCATCGAAGGTCCTTGAGAAGTGCTTAAATTCTTTAATTATTAGGTCTTGAAAAGTCGTTGAAATTCACTACCCTGTCGAAAACTATTTTTTGCATGAGCAATATCTTGCTTCTAGCCCCAGTTGTTCAAAAGGTGGATAACGCTATCCACTGGATAAATCTTTGTGCAGTGGATAACGCAATTGGTTTCTGTTATCACTTATCCGCTGGATAGTGCTATCCAACATTTGAACTGGGGCCTGATTCTTTATTTTCAATGCTATTTTTGTCAAAAAGTGAAGATGCACATGAGCGAAAGGCCCAAACGGCCGGAGCTTATCCCGGTTTCATTAGCATGAAGCATCTAGGAGTATTACTACTCCCCCCTGGACAGGATTCTACCTTATTCTCCTTTATTTTCGCGGGACTTAAATTTCGCGAAAATTTTCTTGGCACATTTCGCGAGTCTTTAATTTCGCGATCGCGGAGAAAAATTGTGTTTGCAGGGAATTTAATTTCGCGAAATTGACGATTAAGTGACTGTCTTTCTTCTTTTTTATAAAAATTGTTCGTTAATCAACAATTGAAACAAAACCAATATGCTCTCCCTTAGCGGCAGCTGTATTCCTCTGAGATGTTCTCACGAACGAAATAATATCTACGATCGTTACGCAATCGCAGCTAACAAACGGCTCTGCGGTTGCTTGGCCGATTTGATTATAGGCCATTTGCCCAGAGCGATTTCTAGAGCTACTAGCTTTTTCTTATTGAGAAGTGGGATGGTTCATCTTAAAGTTTCTGATGAAAACTATCGTCGATCCCCATTGATTCAGGGAGGTCTGGAAATTCCTGTTGAGGTGATATGTGAAATGGACGATACACCAAGCAACACGGCAATAAAGGAAAAATACAAGACACTCGTAACTACTTACTACAAGGAGCCGGGACAGAATGGTCAATTTGACGACTGTACAAAGGATGTATTGGAGGAACTGTGCGAAGATGATTACTCAGATGCCGAAGACGAACTTGAGGCGAATGTTGACACTGATTAACATCTAAAATTGATAGATGATAGCTGCTTGTACTAGCATGCACCTTGTGTTAAAAATTGTTTAGGACCCTTGAAAACACAAATACATGATTTTTCTATGTCCATTAAATTTCGCGAGATCAAAGTTCACGGTCGTTATTTTTCACGGGTCTTTAAGTTCGCGAATTTTTTAAAATCGCGAAAATCGCGAATTTAAGAACCCGCGAAAATTAAGGAGAATAAGGTAGTCCATCGCAGTGTTAACCCCCAGCAGTATGTCACCAGTACCCATTTATACATCTGGGTGAAGCGAGACAAAGTGGAGTAAAATTCCTTGTCTAAGGAAACAATGCGATGGGCGAGGTTTGAACCCCGGACCTCCAGACCCTGAGTTCGAGGTGTTATGCAATCGGTCACACACGCCTCCATGCTATTTATGTACCTCAGATACAATTGCAAGTCATACCCAATCATTTTTCAAAGTGTTGCACGGGAAAGTAGTATATGATAATGTCATCAACTATGGCTGAAGAAGTAAAAATCGTAAATGACTTTATGACGTGTTTTAGCCAATAAGGTGTTCACGAGGGGCTGAAGAATGCCGATTTCTTGAATAAATCTTAGTGCTTCAAAACTCAATTTGTCCTTGAAAAATCCTTGAAAAGTCCTAGAAATTTGTTTTCCTTCAGTTGTACAAACCATGAACGGTGACACGGCCAGTCATGTCACCCTTTTGTGATCGTAGGGACACCTTCCCAGCAGGGCCAACTTTTTTTCATATAAATTAACACTTTGGCTCGCCCACCCAGGTCAACTTGGTCAAGTATGCACCAGTGCTGTTGGCTCCGCGAAGGGGGTCAACTTTTTCATTACATAAACTCGTGCTTAAGAAGCTGAGTTGGCTGGGAGGGTGACTCTTCTCCTCAGGTCAAGTTTTGTCCATATAAGTGGGGTCCTAGTTGTAGCATATGTGTGGTCTATTGTTTTCTAGGCTGCCACATTGATAAATTCTCTTTTGTTGTTGTTGTTGTTATTATTATTATGCGCTGAACGTGTGCGCCTTGGTGAAGTTCTCCTCAAGGAAACTAGAATTCCTTGGTGAGGTTAACCTGCGATCCGTTTCTTTTTCTTTTGCCCGTCCACCGAATTTTGCCCCCCATCCCCCTCCAAAATAGACATGCCTTATCACAGGTACTACAAAATGGATCAGTGGCTTAAAAATTAAGGTTTATGTTTTCGTGCAACAATGACTAGCAAACCATGCAGGTTCTATCCCAAGTAGATTGGCCCGTGCTGACTCAATTCTGAACCGGAACACTTTCTTACTGTGTTCAAATGATCTCTGACAGCAGGGTTGGATGTTATTGTAATTATAAAAGTTTCACTTTTTATATCTCTCTGTTATTCTTATTACTCGGAAGCTCTTGACATCACTTTGTGACCTGAGAGGAACTCATCGGTTTCCTCACATCAACAAATTGGACCAAGCCGTTGGTATGGCTATTCAGAAAATGGGACCAAGGTATGAACTTCATGTTATCAATAGTGCCACTCTCATTCTCACTAGAAACCCTCTTAAACTGCCATTAACTTAAACTCTGCGGCAACTGGAACTATCCTTTATTTCCTTAGCTCCATTTTTAATGAATTTGAACTAGCTACCTCTAACCCTCTGGTGCAGGTATATGAACGGCTACACCAAGCCCAAGAAAATGGACCCCCTTATAACTCCTCTTCGGTCGTTCTCTTAAATTGAAAAGAAAAAAAGTTGTTAATATCTCTCGGCTTGTTTTCATGAAACAATTATATCACTCACTCACTTGATTATTTCACATTTCTCGCTTGTAAGACTAAAGCCAACTTCAACTGACCGTATTTGAAGTGTGTTCGTTTTTCTTAATAGCTCGACATTTCATTCAGGTGCCATACGTTTTATTTTCAAAATTTAGTCTACATGCTATTAAACATTCGTTCCCAATTCAGTTCGTTCATTTTCCTTTTTTTTTAAACGGCATAGCTTCTGCAAATGAATGCTGACTTAAAATGTTGGACTGGAACCATGTACATTAGCTTTCTAGAGAACACTGCAATTTTGTCAGTCTAAAGCCGCAGAAATAAGTGCAGTATATCAAATGATGGAATGCACTCCACGCCATGTGTTTCTATTGTATGCTGTTAGACAAATAAACGTTATTGTTTGGTTAGGAATCAAGGTCTTAACGCTTTTTGACTTATTTCCAGGCTTGTGTTGGAAGCTGTGCCGCTGCAACTTGACAAGGAACTGTAAGTAACATCCTAATTTAAACAGAACAGACTAAAAATAACTCTTGATACGGACACCTTCTATGGCCTCATAAGTGTCCGTATTAATGGAGTTTGACTGTATACCATTAACATTATTGGTAACAAAGTGTTACTGTTTATTTGCAGAAGTGGAACGTGTAACTTCCCCCGGAGCTGGCTTCTGCCAGTGTTGAAGGATAACGTTAAAGACACTGAACTCAAGTACTTCTTTGATGTAATGCTGCCTCTGTCTGCTAACCTTAGAACCAAAGGTAGATTTGCAATTTTGAAACTGGTATACTTCCCCTGTCTTGGATTTTTTATGACCACTTGTAGTTCCACGTCTAAACGTTTCCACGTGCCAAGATATCTGGGCGCGTTCCTTTGGGATGATCAGGATCAGTGTTCCAAGATCACTGGGATCATGTTGTATCAAAATAATGAATCAATGAATCCTTGTCCAGAGTGGATTCATCGGCTCATTTGGTGCAACGTTACCCGAGTGATCTCGGATCACTAATCCTGATCCAAATCATCCCAAAGAAACGCACCCTTTGCAGAGTTTATTCTAGAAATTGGCCAATGAGAGTCAAATGGACCCCCTTCTGTAATTTTAGGGCGCCCTTTTTCAAAAAAGGGGGTCTCCCAAAGGGTATTGTACATGGGTCGGACTCGCCAGATGCTTTGCCGCCATTTTGGAACATTCTTGACAACTGAAAAAGCCTGGGCTCGAATTACTTCAGAATCCTGGATGTTTGTCTGGTGAAATAATGACTCAAGAAGAAGAGAAAGGCAATTGAGACAGTAAGAGGCTATAAAAGTTCAAAGTAAGTTTATAGAGCGGCCATCAAATCAGTGTTGTTGTCAGTGATGTTTTCGAATACTTTATTTAAAAAAAAATTGGTAATTATCCTTGGGTCTATTTTTTTTTGCGCCCCATTTGACGCTGCAACGTAAATTTAAAGCGGCATTTTTTTCCAAATTGCGGAAATCCTGCAAGGCCGCGCTCTAGAATAAACCCTGCTTTGATAACTTTCGTGATTTTAGCGTCTTAATCATTTTTCACCCGTTCTTAAGGTTCTTATATTGTGGCTCAATCTTATCCTTGGTATAAATTTTATTTTCCTTTATTTTTGGGTATGGTAATGTATGATAATGAGTTTGACACAAAGGAAAAAAAGTTTAAACCGAGGATAAAATTGAACTACAACCGTTACATGGAAGTCTGTTGTGTACCATGTTCCATGTAAGTATCAAACTGACTCTTTTCTGAAATTGCATTGTACACATTTTTATCTGAATTTTAGCGATATCACTAAGAGAAGCAAGGAAACTTCTGGAAAGTAAAGTCTATGACACTCTACAACTTCAGGTTGGTTCGAGGCCTGTTGTTGAGTCTTTCCTTCATCCTGGTTTATATGATTAGGAATTTTTATTGTTTAGTTTTGTTGTCAAATTTTAGATCATTGGTTGATTTTGGTTTAAGGTGACTTATTATTTCTTTTAAGATATGGGACCTTTTGCCAGGATTCTGTACCCGTGCAACTGACTTGTGTCAGGTAACAATTTGCCTTTATGAATTAGGCTTAAAATTTTCAACGATGATGAACATTATTTTGACTTTGTGGTAGGTTGTTCTTTTGCATTAAGGTTGACATCGCCGATTCCTGAAAAGTACAACACAGCTTATCGTTAGCCATACATTTATTTGTAAGGGAAAAATTTTAGTCTTCTTTTTCTTTATATTTACATTGTGAATTAAATCAGAGTTACTGTTATGTGCGAATATACTTTATTTTCAGTGAGATGAGAATGAGCAAATTTCTCTTTATTTTCAATGTAAATAGTGGGATGAAAGTTGGTTTTGGTTTCATATATTGATTACAAACATGCCTAATGTACCATGTAACTCATAGTCACATCCTGTTTCAGTCTTTTAAGTCTGTGGCGAGGATATTGGGTGTGGCACTTACAGAAAGACCAGATCTGCGTTTAACCGTGTGTCAAGCTCTAAGGTTGCTGGTCTTAAAGTCATCTGATAATGGTAAGCAATGTAAAAATGTGTCAAAATATACTTCAGTATAAACTTTAGAATTAGATTTAATCCATTGGACTAAGTTAAACTACAAGTAGTGTCAGCCAGACCAATTTAAATTTCTAAAAAGTATAGCGGGATCTTTGGAAAATAGCTTAATTTTATTTTCCAAATGATCAGTGTGATAAGAAAGTTCTCACTTGTGGCCAGCAGTGAGCAGCTTAAGCGATTTTAATTTGACTACCGAAGTGAACTAGCAGTTGCTTCGGACTTAGGTTGCTACATAACTTTTCCTTCTTGATTTACGACTAGTGGATGACTTTTCCAGGTTATCAGAACTGAAACTAAGGCTCTGATTACTTGAGCAATCCCATCCCTAGCCGGGTTTCATTCTGGGGCGAATTTCATCTTGGTGTTTGGTTATCAGCTTCTCTGTTCGCTTTCTAAAAGAACACATGGCGGACGTGGTTTCCCAAAATGAATATGCGCGAAAATGTTGCCAGGCCAATTTAGTGAGGTTTAGAAAGCTGTCAACTGTTTCTGAGAAGGAGGGAAGTAAGTGTTTTGCTTTACAACAGAGATCAAATAGGCCCTTTTTTGAGTCGCCCTAAGCCTCTGTTTCAAAGTGAGGCTAAGTGCAAAGCTGTTAATAAGAAAATGATTTTTTATTCTCATGCAAAGAAAGCTCATTCTTGCAAGAAAGGTTTTACACTTGTTTTGAAAGTGTGAACTTTTGGAACTTGGAAATGGCCTACTGTCTTGGGTCCAAACCAGTTTACTTGAGGATCGCCTTAACACTAAACACTGCTAGGAAATACTGCCTAGAAAATGGACTGTGAGGAAATACTGCCTACTGCCTTTTTTTTCCTGGAAAAAAAGCTTTGTCCTGCAGTCAGAGACTGAAAACAGTTGTTCAGTACCTTCTGGGTATATCTCCCTGTAATAAGCACTGGTTGTTCTTTGGGTTCTGATGATTAACAGGTTGAAACTGGCTTCAAACGTAGCTTTGGTTTTAGTTCCACGACTTTTAATAAATATTGGGGTCATTAAGTCTCCCCTACCTATTTCCGTCTACTGCTTCTCCTTTCCCTCTGTGCTCCATTTCCTCTTAATTTGCTTTTGAATCGGTGTCAGTTAAGAACCTGTTTGCACTCTTTTGTAACGATGGACGTGCCATTATGAATGTATGTAGCTTACCATTGATAGATTATGCTTCATTTCTGGTTATTGCTTTATAAAGTATTTCCTCTATCTGTCAACATTAGCTGAGAACAGTAAGGAGTTGTCTTCATACGCTAAGAACTACTTGCCAATCCTGTTCAATTTGTACACCGCTGAAGAAAAGGAAGGTGACCCGGACAAGTTACCAATCCTGGAAACTATCAGAGTCTATCTGTCCATCACTGACTCAAAGGTTAGTTTAATAGGGGCTGTCCCTGGACAAATCAACAATTGAAAAGCTAGTAGTCCTGTTCTTATTTGTCTATAACACATTCAAAGAGTAGTATTCCTGTGTAAGTCCGTATTAATGCTGCATGCACATAAAACCCAAGAACAGTCGAAGCACTCGCAAGTGACCTCCTCGGAAATTTGAAAAATTGGTAGTAACCAAATCTACAAGATCTTCAAAAAAACTAATTCCTAAAGAAAAAACAGAAGAAATTAATCTTTAATGAGGGTCTTTAATGATCTGATATAGACATGGCTAAACTTTACGTCCAATTTTTTAGACCAAAATAACCCCAAATCTTAAAATTAGTGCAAGAATGAGTTGAGTGGTCGCTCACGGGAGCTTAAAAACATAGGAAAAGTCCAGTTGTGTAATCCCAAATGTGATCGCGGTCGGTTATGGGAGTGGTCACTTACGAGAGAGGTTGCAAGGAGAGCTTTGGCCGTAGAGCAAATAGTTGGTTACAGAACAGAAGTTTTCTACTCTGTGATCATTATCGCTAAATGATTCCGATATTACTGAGTATTTTATATCTACAGGTTGCTGTTATTAGGTTTATTACTCTGCATTGAAAAAAGTTTTAGCAGTGCAGTAGCGTTTTTTCCATATGGTTTAAAGTTGTGTACCACAGAAGGCTATTGTTGGAGCAACGTTTTCTTTTTCAGAAAAAAAAAAAGAAAAATGTTGATCATGGTCCAGCAACGAGGATCTGTTACCTAGTTTATTTCTCTATTTGTCTGTTTCTCTATGTCTTTATTTATGTTTAAACTCGTATTCGATCGAGAATTGACCTCCAGTATTAACAGTTTGCTGACAGGCTAGTGATAATACCTGAAGGCGTTTGCAAATACGTTTACCTATGGTGTTTGAATTTTTACCTTTTTATGTAGTTGGTAGCGACATTCTTTGCCAAGGGATTAGAGAAGCTGTCTAGTGGCGAAAGAGATACAAAGTCAAGGTATGTTTACATATGACAAACGATTCATCCGTTAAAATCGTCCATTATGGTCAAGTTTAGTCTCATGTGTAGATGGGAATAGCTGAATCTCTCTTATAATATTTCTGTATCACCTGTTTTGATCCATTTATTAATTTCCTTTCTAAGTCAAGAAATGTAAAGTTACTAGAGTGACAAGATGGCTTAGTGTTAAGTTGTCGCCAACCCACAACCCCAGGCAAAATAGTTGGGACACTTGGTTGATCCCCCCTCCCCCAAAGAGAATGATAAGGTTACGCTGGCTGTTATCGAACCCTTTCATCCTAGTTTGCATGTCTGCATCATTAGATGGTGATGCTTATCCATTAGCCTTGTAGCAAATTTGAAAAAGGGGACAGTAATTGTAACAGAACCTACACTGCTAAACAGATCTTGATGGGTTTCTACTAGTGATCGTAGTGATTCGTCCACTGGGCGCAAATGTGTTCTTCTGAGTAGACTGGCTGCTGAGTCATTCATTCGTCACAAAGTTGTAATGTTAATTGTAGGAACTTGATGATGGACTTGGTTATAGCAATGACTCCGTACGTCAACGAGAAAAATATAGGGATCCTGTATCACATGGCTGTGCCGTGGTTGCAGGTTGGTATTTTCGTTTCAGTGCAATTTATATTGCTGTGCTATTCTACGAAAATGTAAATACAAGTAAGTGGTTTTAAGAATTCAGAAATAAATGGGAGATATTACTTTACTATGACTGGTTTCTCTTTATAGCATATTATGGCTTTATACAGAGGCCAACACTCACTTTTGTATTGATTAATACCTTTAGTCACTCCCACCTGTAAACAAGATAGTTTTTTTGACAGGTATAACTTGAGTAATCTAACTTGCAAAATCCTAGGGGTTGTGAACAGCATCTCAGCTTTTGTTCTAGAATATATCAGTGGCGAATAGTTTGGGAAAACAAACATACCACACAAATGTTTATGTTTATCTTCAAGGCAACAGATGTCACTCAGCAGAAAAAAGCTTACCGAATCTTGGAACAGATTTGTGGCGCTGATTCTGAGAGTAGCCTGAAATTTGTTGTGTCCCATCTGAAGGAGCTTCAAGACATCTTACTCAAGACTCTTGCATCATCCAGCTCCGCCTCCAAGACTGTAAGTTCTACAAGCCTAGCAAAATATAACTGGTGGACTTACTATACAATATAGGACTATTTTGTAAAACTACAGAAAACTCGAACAGGATACATTCACAGCATAGGGAGGCCTTAGATCCAGCTTTGTTTTGCTTTACTCTTTATTATCCGGGGCCTTACTTAACAACAAACTGATGTAAAACAGGAACAAAGTGTGAAGTCGACTCTTTTGTCTTGTCTTACGGGGAGTATTGGGTGGGTCTAACTCAGAGCAAACTGTTTTTTTTTTTTTTAAACAGGATTGTTCAATGCCGATTATCACCTGATGGTCCTTCTTATCCTAACTAAAAATCTATTCATCATTTTATTCATTTTTAACACTCGTTTCACAGGTAGCCGAAGCTCGAAATATGAGCGTGGGTGAACATCGGCATTGTTATGTAACATTCGAAATACAAGGATTTGTATGGGACAAAACCTATCGTTTCTGTAACCTACGAAAATGAAAGGATTTCAATAAAAAAACACCTTACCTTAACTTAAAATGTTACGTCTCTCCTGTGTGGTCCACGGGCCGATTTATGGGTTTTTCTGTAAACGGTCTTCTCTCTATATAAAGGTTTACCAAGGTTGGGCACTCCAGCAAAGCGGCCTGACTGGTCCACCGAAGGAAAACGGCTGTAAATTCGCTCCAACTGCTCAAATTGCCTCCAAATTCCGCCAAATTGCGCCTGTTCCGATTGGAACAGTTGGAGCGAATTTACAGCCGTTTTCCTTCGGTGGATCAGTCGGGCCGCTTCGCTGGAGTGCTTGGTAAACCTTTATATATAGAGAAAACCGTTTACATAAAAACCCATAAAACGGCCATAAATCTGCTCGTAGACCACAGAAATAGATTATTTATCTGTTCTGTTTGCCCTCAGTGTTTTAGCTGGCACAATCAAAGAAGGCACAGTGACAGATGATAAATTACTTGATTTGGCCAGAGATGTTTTTACCTTTTGGAAAAACCTGGCAGAAACGATAGGTTTTTGTTTATATTGCGAATGTTACGCAACAATGTCTATGTTCATCGATGCCATCATTTCGAGCCTGGGCTACCAGTGCTCGTTTCTGTCATTTTTGCCAAAGTGCTTTTGTATAAATTGTGTTCATTGTCAATATTTTGTCAACATTGTTATCGTATGATGGGCCCTAATTGTTGAGTTGATAATAGGACATAATTTCTTTTTTACGTGTTATATTTCAGCCCCGCCTTCGTTGTCTAGCTCACATCGTTCGTAGATTAGACAAACCTGAACAATTCATTCAAGCAATAATCCCAGAGGTAAGTTTGTTCACAAAGCAAGCAATTTTGACCTATCTATTGTGTTTGTTACTTTCATCATTAACAGGGTAAATGAAGTCCTTCTGATGAATTAACTGCTTTAAAACTGATTTCAACTATTTTTGAAAAGGGTTTTGGTGGGGAAAAAGGACATAATAAAGTCGCCTCCCAAGACAGGAGGGGGGATGTTGACTCTATTTGTTCAGGTTGTAAGGTTAGAGTAGACCAAAAAGCCAAGACTCAGCTGGCACGTTGTGACAGTTGCTAAGAGAACGATCGGCATTCTGAACATAAAAATTACTTTTCATTCATTGTGGAATGCACATGTCAGATTGAACCAATATTGGAATTTTTCATCCCATTAAATAATGCCACAGATGCTACTTTTGACAAGCCACTAATCCTTGTACATAGTGAACTGTAGGGAATTTTGTTCTTTCATTTGGGTTACCTAGAGCACCACGTTTCCTCCATATTCTTTGGCAACATCTTATTCTGGGCAGATTGCATCTTCTTCCTTTCCACTTCATTTGACATAAAGCATTATTTTGTCTTAAGGATCTATATAATGCAATGTGATCTCTAAATTTTTCCCCTCAATTAGGTCATCCTTTGCACTAAAGAGGTTGCAGTCAAGGCTCGTTCCTCTGCATTCACCCTGTTAATCGAGTGCTGTAATGCCCGTTTCCGTTCCTCTGACAAGTCAAGACAAGGTAACGTTCACTTATTAAATCGGTTTCAAAATGGTTACAATACCGAGATAGGATATACATTTGAACAAATTACAAGAACGAGTTGCAATGGTGCGGGACACATACCAGGGCGAGGCTCCAATTTAGGTTTGACCTTAAGAAAGCTACACAAATACTAACTATGCTAAATAGCATGACATCTCGACATTTATAACACTACAAAAAGTATAAAAATTCTATTTCCAAGTACTGTGAGTAACACTTCACTCCCACAGCTGCTAAAAAGTGTCAGTAGCAGTAGTTGCCAGTTAACAGAACATTACGTGACCTGTTGCATTTGCAGCAGATCGACTTCCAGGTGTTAAAGTTAGGGAATTTAACATCCCTATGAATGGCGAACTTCTGTCAAAGATATGTCATCTTCATGTGTGGTTTGTTGTACTTTTAATTTTCTCGTATTATTGAATTAGCTCCGTGGAAGTTGGAAAACAAATAACAATGAATATGCAAAATTCTAAGAATCACTTCTTTTGCACTGTGTTCCAATCTTCCCAAAACGTGAATTTTCCTTTTGTTTTCCTAAAGCTTGTTTTTGTTGTTTGTTTGAAATCGGCTTTCATTTGTAGTAAGACCAGATGGATAATCCACAATTACAAAAGCAGATCCACGCAAACAGAGCATGGCATGTCTGAATTTTGGAGCGTTTTTGTCGGTGACCAGTGTTAAGCTAACTAACGTTTTGACAAGCAAAGTGACCCGCTTGTCTTTAGACTCAGATTTTTTTTTACAACCCTTACTTACAGCCTCGCTTGTACTACTTGGCTTTTGTTCATTTGGAAGAAGACATGGCTAAGTCGAGTTTTTTCCTTTTAGCCTCACAGGTGGCGTATTATTAATTATGATTTGCTTTGTCCTTTTGCTAGAATGCCTGACGTCATTCCTGGAGCTGGTTGTTGCTGGTATCGCTGGCTCGCCTCATATGATTAGTGCAACGGTTATTTCTGTTGCCAGAGTGGTATATGAATTTAGAAGTAAGTGTGGTGATACCGTGGAACCTCTCCTTTGGGACACCTATTAAATGGACACCTCTATTCAGGGGACACAACATTTAGTCCTGGAAAAAAAAGTTCACATAAATTTTGTATCTGCCACCTCTATTGAAGGGATACACCTTTTCTGGGTCCCAGAGGATACGTCAGCACTTAAAACGTGACTGGCCACAAAGAGGGTTGATAAGTTTAAGTGTACACTAATCACATTAATGACAGCGATCACAAACTGAACTATCTCATTTAAATCAATGCACTGTACTTGTGAAAATTCAACCCCAATATCGTAGAGATAACGTTATTATCATTTTTTGTACATTATCTAGCTACTTTAAGATGACTGCAGCAGATTCTAGGGCAGAATGAAAAATGTATATATTGCCTTTGTTTCTTAACTATTAACAAATCCCAGCCCAACCTCCATTCAGGGAACACCTCCAATTTATATATTTAGCCCAGGCTAAAAAGCAAAGCTCTCGTTACTACACTTATAACTTACTCACACAAAAATAAGATCGTGTAATGCTAAACGGTGGTGATGTCATTGAGAACTGCAAGAAAACAACAACAATAGGTCTAATTAGCAAAACAAAACAACAACAACTTTGCACGTGCAGCACACTTGCAAAAGAAACGACAACAAGTTGCATGACTACAACGAGAAAATTTCTAGTTACACGTTTTGTGGAGGATATGTCGTATTTTCTCACCAAGAAAAAAGTAATGCTGCTAGTGTTCCTGTTCGCTTTCTTTCTCACTGCCGCTTATTTAAACCTTACTGGCCGCTAACGTTTCTCATTTTCTCCGTTACCACCGCTATTAAATTTTTCATGTTGTGTTTCTAACGAAATTCATCTCCTTTGTTTTTATCGCTCGCTCTAGCTCTTTCTCTGTTATCCACGTCAGCCGAGACATTAAAATTTAGTCGGAAAAGAGACTCGGCTTGTTGTTTTTTCTCTCTAAGATGACTAACATGGACGTCTATCACTAAGTTAAACACAGGTTGCAGGGTCCACTCAAAGTAAAAAAGGTCATTTCACATTGGTTTATTATGGGTTATTCTGTAGTGCGGACGGATGGGCGTACAGTCACGTGACTACCAAAATTTCTCAGATGCATGGATAACCCAAATTTTCTCACCCATTCTCTGTACATCAAGCCCTTTGCTTAGGTTTCTTGAAGCTTTTTTTGCTGTTTTGTTGTTGCTTTCTTTTTGCTTCTTCTTGTTGTTTTTTCAAAAGTGACACTGCCACCTCGACTTTTACCTATCACGTTCTTGACACCCAGAGAGCCTAAACTGCGCGTCTATTAGTAGATTTAATGGTGAAGGCAGCGGACTTCTCACTCGGTTTGTTTCTTTTGGGTGCAGGTGAGATTCCCAGTGTGTTGTTGGAACAGCTTATTCAGGGTATCCTTGTTTGCCTGCGGTCTGTTGCTAGAGAGGTGATCAAATCGTGTCTTGGGTTTTTTAAGGTAACGTAATATCTGTGTTTGTTCTATTGTCATTTTTGGGACACGCCCTGAGAGTGAAACAAAGTAGATTACTATGATTACTATGGTGTATCCCCATTCACTTTCGAAGCCATTTATGGTGCGACCATTCAAAGGTAACCTTTATGGCAGAAACGTTAGATGAAAGCGTTTATTTTTCTGTATTTCTATAACTCTTAATTTGGAACGTTTTTTTTTTCCAATCTTATATTTTGATATTCTGAGGTAGAAACAGATTAAAAGAGTTACAAGAGATCCGGTAGAAGGGAAGAAAAATTCAGCCGCTGTAGCGCTACCTAAGTTACGTAAAATCCAACCTTTTTTTTGGCTATCACTACTAGTAGGTAGCCGCGCCTACTTCTTCGCAAATGTTTGCAATCGTGCCTTTCCCTTTTTTTTGGCAGATTATCATTTCTGTTATGAGTCAGCAGGACTTACTTCCGTATGTTCCAGATATTGTAAGTAGAAAGTAGTCAAAGGAGGTGGATATAATGTCCGTAGAAACGTTTTTCTCTCGTTTTACTCAATGTTGAGCGCTTCAGTTCATTTTATGGTCATGCACTTACTGCCCCTGCGTTCTAGGGTGAATAGAATTTATTTCGTTTGGCGTATCTGAAATGAAGTAAGTCAACTACAGTCGTATTGGAATATGGGATCTGTCATTTCCATTTTGGGTACGAAATTGTGGGAGGGAGGGGAAGGGGAAAACAAAGGCGTATTTAATTGCATTGCCTCGTGAAAAGTTTCTTGCATAGAGACGCTGTGTCAACCATCCGTATTTTGTAAATATTACCTAAGGGATCTTTTTTCTTGTTTTGATTTTGTATTTTTTTGCTTTGGTTCTCGTGTTTTGTATTTTTTTTTTCATATATATAATTATATTTTTTTGGTGAAAGGTTTGAACCCAGGAGTCATTTCAAGTTGAGTTTGATCGTCCGGGTGAACGTAGTCCTGAATAGCGCTGTTGTTGACAGTGACTGACGTTTCGACAACCTGTACGGTAGTTTTTATTTTTATATTTTTTCTCTTTAGGTTGGCGGCCTAGTCGCCTGGAACGATGACACTAGACGGCGTTTTCGGTTTAATGTGAGAGTTCTATTTGAGCGGCTAATCAGGAAATTTGGGTGAGGAATAGATTAGTCTAGTATATAGTTTAAGAGTAACTTAACACGGCATACAAATCTCCTTTTCTCTTTTGTCTTCACCAAGGAAATTGCCACTTCAGAAAATCTAGGGAGAATGTTTACATACTTTGGGTGCAGTGATTTCTTGGATCGATTAGTTGGACAAGCATTGGTTTCGATTGGTCGATGGTATTCAAGACAGCCATTAACCAATCACAAGTAAGCATTGTCCACCCAAATGATCCTAGGGATCGTTGTGCCGAATGCTTGTATCCATTCCCTATATAGTTTCTAGAATGGGTAGTTATCAACCTCTCACGGATCAAACTATCTCCATTTCTATTTTATTTTATCTTNTGTCTTCACCAAGGAAATTGCCACTTCAGAAAATCTAGGGAGAATGTTTACATACTTTGGGTGCAGTGATTTCTTGGATCGATTAGTTGGACAAGCATTGGTTTCGATTGGTCGATGGTATTCAAGACAGCCATTAACCAATCACAAGTAAGCATTGTCCACCCAAATGATCCTAGGGATCGTTGTGCCGAATGCTTGTATCCATTCCCTATATAGTTTCTAGAATGGGTAGTTATCAACCTCTCACGGATCAAACTATCTCCATTTCTATTTTATTTTATCTTATTATTTATTAATTTGTTCGTTTATTATTTGGCCAATGAATCTTAGTGCATGCTCTATCTGTGCATCTCATAGTTATCACACTATCTACAAGTGCACTCCTGAGCAACATCAAAAGTTGGTTCACAATATACACAAGACAACACAGAGACTGAAGCGACAGAAAATGGCTGCCAGAAGAGATAGGAATTCGGTAAGCATGTTGTACGAGAAATATAGCACATCTCCAGGGCAATTCTACTCTTAGAGTAAGCAAAGCGTTCTATTTATCCGATTTACATATATTCCTGATGGTACGTGGTGGCCAAGCTTTTAATACCTCTAACTTCAGATCGTAGGTCCGAGTTCGAACCTTGCCAACGCAATTCTTAGAAAACAAAAACAAAACAAAACAAAAAAACTCTGCTCCGCCATGTCCCTCTTCACTCACGTGTATAATAAAAAATGCCTTTCACGTGATACAAACCACCATGCTGGAGAGCAAGGGGCATGCTGGGATAAAAGAAAGAAACAAAGAGCTCGCACTATCTAAAATAGTAATTTCCTTTGTTTGTTTTGTCCCATTGCGTTTGTTGCCAGCTAGCATAGGGGTTCTGTAACACGTGAATGATAAGCTACAAAGGGCCAGATGGGTACACATACGACTTATTGTGGCCACGGAGTGGCATATCGTCCAAACAGGAGTAGCAGTTTTCCTGTAAGTGCTTCTTGTTATGGGTCTCATGGCTTGTGGGTGGCTTAACCGTTACAGAGGCTAACAATTTAACACGAACAGTTTATAACTGAACATGAATGAACTGAACGTGAATGATAAGCTACAAAGGGCCAGATGGGTACACATACGACTTATTGTGGCCACGGAGTGGCATATCGTCCAAACAGGAGTAGCAGTTTTCCTGTAAGTGCTTCTTGTTATGGGTCTCATGGCTTGTGGGTGGCTTAACCGTTACAGAGGCTAACAATTTAACACGAACAGTTTATAACTGAACATGAATGAACTGAACGTGAATGATAAGCTACAAAGGGCCAGATGGGTACACATACGACTTATTGTGGCCACGGAGTGGCATATCGTCCAAACAGGAGTAGCAGTTTTCCTGTAAGTGCTTCTTGTTATGGGTCTCATGGCTTGTGGGTGGCTTAACCATTACAGAGGCTAACAATTTAACACGAACAGTTTATAACTGAACAACAGCTATTACATAGTAGGTTGTTTTGGGATAATAACCGGACACATCCTACTCTTTTGGTCCACAGGACGAAGGCAAGGTGCTAGCAGAAGAAGAGACTCCACAAATTGAAAGGTATGAATAGATGAACGTGATTTAAGCCGTTGTCTTTTTTGTTTTCTTTTTTGCTCATTAGTGGGGCAGAGGAACCTTTTAATATAAACCAAGCGTTCAGTTCCCATTAGACTGCTTTGCCCCTCCAAAAAGGCCGCCATCCCTTTGTTTACTTCTCCAACGAGGCCGCTTTAACATAACAGACAGACCCTACATAATTATTGTTCCGTAATATGTCGGAGAATTTTAATATTAGCCCATTTGCATCAAGAAATCTGGTAATGGAACCAGAAACAGAATTGGACACCAACAATGTGGAAGGTCACATATTGTAATGGAGGATTTTAAGAGGGAGAGTAAGGATTTGCAAGGATTTGCATGGCTGCCATGTTGCAAGAAATGATGTCCTTCCTAAGTAGAGGGCATATTCTCAGCTTAGTGTCATCGCACTTTAATTCTCACTTATTCTTAAGTGGATGTCAAAAGTAATTTCCTTTTGGTGTCCAAAAGATAAGGAGACTTGGATACCCCAGTAATGATACTGTTCCGAGAAATGATCACATTTGTCGCATTTAGCATCCACCCTTATTCAAATGTTCACATGGCTCCAGTGGTTCAAAAGGTGGGTAACCCTGTCTACCAGGTACATGGAGGTCGTTATCCACTGGATAACACAATTGGCTTCCCTAAGACCTATCCAGTGGACAGTGATTTAATCGTTGGAAAGCTTCTTTTGAACAATAGGGTCTAGTGCGTTAACAAAAAAAGGAATAAAATAACGACAACAGACAAACAAACAAATCTTTACACATTCTAGTAAGTTTTTGGCCTTTTTTTTTTTTAATTATTATTTTTATTTATTCATTTATTTATGTATTATTTTTTTGTGAAAACGCTGACTTCATGATCGAAAATAAAGTTCACTCTTTGAGCCTGTTTTTTTCTGCTGTTGCTTCCCAGTTACCCTTGTTTAAAAACATGGCCAGCAAAAAAGTCAAGAAGCTTGCGTTACATAGTTCAAACATCAATTGTTTCGTTTTTTCCTTACTAGTTATGAAGACATCATGTTTGGAGATGATGAGGGGGAAGAGAGACCTGGAATGAAAGCGAAGAAAAAGGTAAAAATTTCCATTTCACATATTTTGTTTGTTTTTTGTGGGAAGCTCCTTTTAATATTCATCTTTTCTGGTATTTTCAGCTCTTTTCTTCAGGGCTCTCTTTATATTATTAAAACCCTATTTTTTGTCCCGGAAATCTTTAATCTGTCGCTAATGATAGGTTTACTTGTCAATGTTTTTTCTTTGCTGAGCGCAGTTGATTGATAGACTGATTCAGCGATTTACTGACTGCTGCTTTCTACATTTATGAATATATTTCATCCTACAGGCAAACATGGACAGTAAAACAAACCAACGAGCTAAAGCTCCAAAAGCCTGGATCCGAGAGGGAACTGATGAGGAGCCAGTTGATTTCCTTGACCCGAAAGTGGTGCAAAGGGTCGTCGGTAAGTCTTTTGCTCTCCTTTTATTTTACAGTTGTATGCAGAACTAGCCGGCATTTGGATGGAAGCGTGACTGACAATGGTTTTGTTTTGCTAGAAGTCTTAGTGCTTTTAGTATGTAAGTGAGATCTACTTCGCATATAAGAATTTCGAACATGATTTACTTATCTCCCATAATCAACCTTGTTGCCCTTCTGCCCACTCAACAAAATGTTGCATAACCTTTGCTTTTCATTTTTTCTGGAAATTGCAGTGGTCCAAAGAAAAATTAAAGACAATGCTTATGTAAAATTCTGAGGGCAACCAAGGGAAGGTGTATTATGGGAGGTGAGCAAATGGTGAATACCATTGTCTCCTCGCTTTTCTGAATGTCACTAAAACACTCTTGACACTGTGCTAAGTACAAAATATTTTGTGTCAGCTGTATCGAAACTTCCACTATCTTGCATTTCCACGTTTCTCTTTGAAGCCAGCGACCCCACAAAGCCTACCAAGCGTAAAAAGACGGACGATTTTGAGACCTCGGCCGATGGAAAGCTGATAATCAGGGATGACGAGTCCGAGAATGAGCTGCAGGAGCCTGGAGCCAAGCGCAAAAGAAAACCAGGTGATGGTTGATTGATTGATTGATTGATTGATTGATTGATTGATTGATTGATCGATCGATCGATCGAGACTAAAGTTCAAATGACCTCCGAGAGAGGCCAAGAGTATCCTATCATCCAAATACAGTTAAGGTTTTTTTTTGTTTAATACTTCAGGGAAATTCCGATTTTTCGAAGCACCTTTGGAAAAGCAAAGTGTTTCAAATTATGGGGAATTTCGAATATTCGAGGTTTCAAAAAAATGATGATTCTACTGCAAACTTTTAATGACAAACGACAGAACTCTCCTTTACAATTCAATTCACTCCAGTTACTTGGTTTGCAGCGAGAGGCCAACATTTAAATATCATGTATTAAATTTCGCATTTCACTTATGCCTTTCTGATGGTATTTACTTCCGTTATTACCTTTGTCAGGTTTCCAGGATTCAGATGATGACATGGACGAGGTAAGTTAATTATTAAAGTGTTATTATTTGCATTTTCTACAGGGGGACGCATTATTTGTGGAAAAATCGAAATAATGAAATCTGAGTTTCTCGATTTTAGTTACCTTTTGTTCCGTTGTACAAAAACAGTTACAGTTTACCAGCTACATTTGATCTGATGAGGTCGTAGTTAAACTGGTTTGGGAGAATGTTTGTTATCACAAAACCTTAGGGGTGAAAGCTAAGAGCAAAGTCAACGCTTACAACTTGGAATTGCAACCCTGTACTATCCTAATTCTTGTATGTTGTATATTTTGGAAAAACAACTATAACCAAGCCGCCTGCCTTTTTTTCCACCAGAATCCATCTTTGAGAAAAAAGAAACGGAAATCCTTTGAAGCTGATGCTGAGGAAGAAGGCGAGAACCAAGGTCTGTGTCTGTGTAGGTTGGTCGGTCTGGCTATCTGTCTTTCTGTCCCTGTATCTATCTATTTGTCTGTCTGCCGGCTGGTCGGCTGGTCGGTCTGTCTGTCTGTCTCTATATCTGTCTGTCTAGCTTTTTACATTGAGCAAAAGGTTATCTACGAAGCGTCCGCTTTCTCTAACCTTTTGTTTGTTTGTTCGTTTTTTGCAAATTGGAGCAAATCTTTTGACAGTTTGGTCTACCTGTCTTGTCGTTTCACTAGATTTTTAATTTATTTCGTTTAGTTAAATGAAATCGGCGATTTGTTTTCCTCACAGGACTTCCATCAAAACGCGGAAAGAGTGAAAAGCCCTTTGGATCAGAATATAAGGCCAGGGTATGCTTCAGAAAATGATTAATTGAGACCAAGTAATTGATTATTAAGTTTCCTATGCGAGCCCAAATCTGATGGATGACGACCAAAGGAAACAGCGTGCAGTTGTCAGGGACTCGGCTGAAGCAGAAGTAACGGACATGTGCCTTTTCTTTCACCCACTTCAACGTGACTCGCACTGAGACTTATCCTGAAACATATTACTGGGCAATGTGTTTAAAAGATGACCCCTCGTGTCTTGTACGACCATACTCATTGATACCTAGCCCTGTTGATCCTAAGAGGAATCGATCATGTCCTATGGGCCACATGAGCGCTTCCTGGGTACTCGTCTTTCACATTCAGGATCCTCAGTCTATCTTGAAGTGGACAAAAATAATGACCCCATTTCATGCTGACTCCCCTTCAAAGTATTTATCTTTTTGCTGCCTTTCAGACAAGAAAGTTGTCTTTGTTTGCGTTTATAGAAAGCTGGTGGGGATGTTAAAAAGAAAGGAAAACCTGACCCATTCGCTTACGTACCTCTGCAGCGCAACGTACTCAATAAACGGTAAGGATTCCAGATTTTATCCTAATACATTAAATATACTAGCGCCAACTCAGACGTCCGTTTCGTTTGTGAAACCCCAAAGTAAGAAGAAACATTGCTTTGCTTAAGTTATTCGTGAAGTATTTGTTACCTCAGTGCCGTTTTCAGTAACAAGTCGTTGTTTCTTTTTTCAAACAGAAAACAAAGAAAAATGGCTGGGCAGTTTAGGGGACTAGTGCGGGCTACTAAACGAGGAGCAGCTAATGCCAGGCCCAAAAAAGCGAAAAGATAGCGACAGGAGATATTATTTCCGTTTGATATCCTGAGAAAAGACTTTTAAAAGGCAGAGGACGAGGACTAGGTTGTATTGAACACAGTACAAAGAATTTGGGGCGTCAGATTGCTTTTGCCTTGATAGAATTGGAAAGAATGTCCGATAAAATTAGAAAAAGTTCCTTAGCACAGTCATTAGCCTGATAGTGGCTGGTTACTCGAAAGCTCTTCTGGATTTAAGATCAGGTCCTTAGGTACTGAATCAAATACTGCAAGCATGGATCTCCTGGTTTGGAAATTTCAGGAACTAAAAAAAAAAACAACAACATTGGTAATAATTTTGTGTATGATAGATACGAATACATACATACATACGTTTTATTGAGTCTCCCTTTACAGGGCTTTCCAGACACAACTAATTATATGAAATGTGCAGAAGTAAACGCTAAAATCTAAAAACCTGAACAAGTGTATTCATTAATACTATTAAAAAATAAATTAGGGAAAGAAATTCCTAATCATGCACTCTATTCATTAAGTATACAATTAAATAATCTTTTATGAAAAACCTTGTCTTTAATGCTCTGAAGGTCCTTTGGCAGGTCATTCCAGTGTTTAGCCCCACGAAAGTAAAAACTTCGTTGTCCTGCTGATAACCAGAAGCATGGAAAGCTCGTCTCCGACTTTGTAACATAGTTGTGAGACAATGAACTTAACAGAAGCTGAAGAACACAATTCGTTTAATCACAGGAAAAGGCTTCGTTGGCTACATATGATTACAGAACAGAAAGCGCGCCATCACCCGGGAACTTTACCTATCCTGGGCCCTGAGGATCTGGAACTAACAACGTCGTCACATCCCCTTTGTTCTAACAAAAAAAACCAAAAACCAAAAAACAAAAAAGCAGAAAAGAAGAAGAAAACCTGAAAACAGTCACATCATTGTAACTGAAATAAAAGTATTTGAGTTCTAGCGGATAAAGCTATACGAAATGTTCACTGTTCGCTCATCAGACAATGAAATCGTCGAGGTAACCTGGCTTCTTAACTATTCTCCCACTTCTAGTATGCACAGGAGTATTCAAAGAGACTGACTGGGAGTCCATTTGTGAACCCACTGCTGTCATTGACGCATAGGCAATCTGTGGTACCAGAGATTCAGTAGGCACCACCACTGTACAGGATAATGGAGGTATTAGGCTCCGGCTTGTTCTTTCTGATTGCACCGCTTCATCGTCTGACATTGCTTAGTATTTCTCGGGAACCTTGGAGAGATGAGAGCGGTTGTGGTGATGGACTGTTCGATCTTCTGCGCGGACATTGCAGGATCGTATCGCCACCTGACCCTCCACTTGAGCCCTAAACCATTTAGACTGACTTGTGTTTCCTAGTTTGCAATTTCTGTGCCACTTCAGGGACAACTTTTGACTGAAGCAGCTAACCAGCCAAAGGCAGTAAAGAGCAAGTGACGCTGTTTTGGGGAACTATCCATTCCTTCTGATGGTGTGTTTCTAAAATCCATTAGAGACAGATATGGATCGTAACCCGAATCTGCAGCTTTCTTTAAGGTAGACTTTGCTGTCTTGACACTGTTTTCCGCTTTTCCATTGGACTGGGGGTACCTAGGGGACGTTTTGATGTCCTCAAATTGATAGTCTTTCGAAAAATTCTGAAATTCATTATAGTCAGACTGCGGCCTATTGTCGGTAGTGAGTCTGTCTGGCAGACCATATCTTGCAAAATGAGGCTTTGGCTAAGCAATAACTTCTTTGGAGGTCTTGGACACTAGCACGTCAAGTTAAAAAAAGTCAGAATAACGATCAGTGGTAAACAAGGTTGTCAGTACCGTTGAGCTCAAAGAGGTCTGCCAAGATGCTTTGCCAGGGTCTTGTTGGTATTTTTTGGCACACTAAAGGCTCTTTCTGTTGTGCTGGTTTGTAACTATTGGCTCTTTGGGTTCACCAGCTTGAAACGTTTCTTGCCCAAAGGTTTAACTTCTGACTTGTTATACAAAACCAGGGTCACTGATGTTTTCTCCTGGTTATCCAGTGCGTTCTCTCCATACAGCTACTTCACTGTTTTATCAGCCATAATGTTTACAGTTGATCCACTATCTAGCTGGAACTTCTCTTCTTTTCCATTGACGAGTAGGGTGGCAAAGACTTGGTTGAGGTTGCCAGCTGAGGCTACAGAATGGAGCTGTTCCTCAGCTGCAATCACTGCTACGTACTCTTAACCTTCAGATTCCCACTCCATAGATAAGACTTTTTTCTTTGATTCTTGGCAGCAAACAGCAAAAAAGATTACAGTTCTCGCATGAGTTTCCCCATGCAGGACAGTTTTTCTTAGCAAAAGGGTGTTGTCTTGCTCAAAACTTGTAGACCATTTGTTGACCAGATGACTCGCTGATGGGCTTGGCTGGTGGACTAGTCTTGTTTCTCCCAACCGGAGACTTTTTCTCCACTTTTACATAACGAACGTCTTCCTGATTTATGGCTTTAAGCTGTCTCGCTCAAGTCTCCGAGGATCTACAGATATGTATACATTGACGTAAGGTCAGTTTACTTGTCTAAAGGAGTTTCTTGTGAGCAGAATTATCACTAATTCCAACCACCATTCTATAACGAATAAGTGAGTCTGTGAGGGACCATTATTACAAGTCTTGGCAAGCTTCCTCACTGCTGCGACGTAGGCATCAACTGATTCATTTGTCTCCTGGTCCCCTCGGTTGAAAACATTCTCCATCTTTGTGCGAATGATCTCTGGATCTTTCTTTGGTCTTAGTGTCGAGTTCTATTGCATCGATAACATCCCACGCACCCGGGCCTATACAGGTGAACAAAATTGAAGTCCTTTGTTCCTGTCCTGATTTTCCGCGTCTTTGAGTTGAGCAGCGATCTCATAGTTCAACCACGCTCGGCTTAAGCGTTGCCACTTCACCGCCAGATTTCCACCGCTCAAGTCTAGCTTTTTTCGGGTTGAGTACCCGTTAAATTTTGAGCATTAGTAGGAATTTCTCCTTTACTCGGATTTGGCATATTCAGTTCACCATGAGGACAGCACGAAGCGACATACAGTAAGATCACAAAAATGACGCCACAACACCAACCAAATCCTCTCCTTCTACCAGTACAAGCGGGACATTTCAGCACAGATACGTCCGACAACATGTAACGTAGTTGTGAGACAATGAACTTGACAGTGGCTGAAGAACAACTCATTTAATCACAGTAAAAAGGCTTCGTCGGCTACATGTGATAACAGAACAGAAAATGCGCTATCATCCGGGAACTTTACCTATCCTGAGGGCCTGTAACTAACAAAATTGTCACAGTCCTTCCTATACTTCTGCTATGACTTGCCAATTGCATTGTAAAATAACCACTACATAACTTGGTGCTAGACCATTTAGCTATTTAAAAGCTAAAACGAAATTAATGAATAAAATCTTCTCGGAAACATTCAGCCATTTTTGAGATCTGCGACCCTCAGAAATATGATCAAATTTCTTAACAATCCTGGCAGCGAAATTCTGCACTAACTGTAGCTTATGCATGTTTCATTTAACTGTGTTTTCCCACACAGAGAAACAATAAAATAACTTGCTAAAGATAACACTATTTGTAATTAATATGAGTGACTTTGGTAGGAAGGAAAAGGCCGATTCTAAACAATATATAAAATACTATTTTCCCGGTTTCCGCCGTCGTTAAGTTTTTTAGCCTTGTTAAAATTCACTCTGATTATTTGCGTGTACCATTTTCCGTCATTTACCCAAATTTAAATTCAAGGAGTCATTTTTTTTACTTTAATTGCCTCTCATTTTGCTTTCTGTCCTTTACCAACCAAAATTCAGACTGATTAAAGTAAGACATTATTATGCACGAAATTTCAAAAAGCTAACACAATTCATAAAATCATAAAACCATAATGAATATGAAATTTAACTAAATTAAAAACCCTAATGCCTCGGCCCCTTTGGGGCCTCCGGGGTAGGGGGGTGGGGAACCGGGAAAATGAGGGAAAGCAGGATTTTATTGGCAGTGTGGAATCAGCCTTTTCCTTACTTCTATTAAAGAAGTAGCCGAAATAGAAATATGATGTAATCCCACAGGGAATTCCCCTTGTAACAACATCTGTCTGTTTTGACTTTGTTGAATATTTAAAGATTTTATTACATGAAAATTTGAGATTACACGAGATTTTTATGAAAAGATAAGAGTTTGTAAAAGTTCTATGAAAAGTTTGTGAATGAAGTAAAAAAAAATGTAAAATGATTTTAAGTTGGTGTAGGAAAAAAGTAAGTTGAATTAAAGAAATTATCTAATCTTTATGTAAAAGGATGCGTTCAGTCGATTTGAAAAATTATCAGTTGAAGAGTTGAAAAAGATGAAACAAAATGAGAAACAGAGTATAACGAATATAAGGAAAAACAAAAAAAGGGAAAACTAATAGTTGAAATAAATGAAAAAGAAAATCAAAGGACAAAGGTGAGAAAAGCTAAATAAAACAAACAAACAAAACAAAACCAAAGAAATCAACAAAACCCAAACCAAAGACATTTGAAGACATTTCAAGAATGTATTAAAAACAAAATGATTCCAAAAGATAGGCGAAAATATTTAAGAAAAGCTCTAGAAAGTTCATTGAAAGAGTAGGATGTTGGAAATATCAAACATGAAAATCGGCTCTTCAGAATTTTGTAGACAAATATGTAATTGAAGGAAAACCAGAAGTTACACCATTTGATTATTTTGAAAATGCAGCTCCTCAGTTAAAAGTTTTTGCGAGAAATCATAGAAGTATGAAAACTCGAATGATTATGTTCGTCATTATGGAAAAGATGGTGGTTGATAAAAAGAGATTTTTTACATTCAGGATAAATATTATTTTCATTCTGAGACATATAAATCTTAAAAAGACTGATATACAGGAATTACTTGAAGAATGTTAGTTTAAATACAAAGCAAGACTTCATCTTATTGAAAAAATGGTTCAGGTTGGTATTTTAAAGAGGGTATTGGATTAGAAACTATAAACTTGTAAAGGGATCCTCATATATTCTAGTTCCTGATTTTCTTAAAAGAGAAAGGCGATTGTTAACATAGAAAACAAAACTGATGATAAGTGTTTTATGAGACAAAACTGGATGCACGGCAGGCACTACGGCAAAGGGCTGATTTATTATAGGCTAATATTTCGCCTAACAAAATTAGCCTTCCTCGGGGCCAAAGCTATACCGAGAGAAATATCTTTTAACGGTTCCTAAAATTGGAATTTAAAATTTACATAATTGGTTAATAATTAACTACAGTTATTAATACTAGATAGAATAATATACAGGTAAATGATTATACCGTAAAAATAGAAATCAGACCGTCCAGTGACTGGTTTTTGCCTCTATGTATGAGGTACGCTTCTCTTGCCTTACGGCGTGGCATGCTGAGGGTGGGTTGTAATTCCAGCGGAATAAGTTCCCTGTCTACGATCGAGTGGCCAGGTTGATTAAAGTGCGAAGGGACTGCTGCTGTGGCGTTTGCGTGGAGTGAATTGGTTGTTGCCTGTCTATGTTCTTTAAAGCGTTCACGAAGTGTGCGTTTAGTTTCACCTATATATTGTTTTGCATCTTTTACATTGGATTATATATGTTAGGTTTGTTCAAACCGTCGTGACCTACTCGTTCGTGCGAAACTCGCAAACAACGACAGCACACCCATGCCCCCTGCCGGCGCATTCCGTTGCAACTCCAGACATGGCTGCCTCACCTGCCCATACATTAACCATTGAAAAACATCATACACTTTCACCAACACAGGAGAAACAAGACAAATTAAACATCACATCACTTGTGACAATAAGGGTTGATTTCCAGTGTCGCGTAATTTTTACGTGCGTACGGGCGTAAAATTGACGTTCGCAAATAAAATAGAGGCAATACATGAAAGGTCGCTCGTATAAGCGTAAAAGTTGAACCTCGCTCAACTTCTCGTTTAAGCTCAGCACTTTTTATTCTGCCTCTCTTTTATTTGCGTGATTAAAATTTAGGTGCGTTAATGTGCGTAGCCAAAAGACGTAAAAATGTTTGAGACACAAAATCCAAATATCCCCGGTATTAATGTATTTTCGATTAATGATCAAAATAAAATTTACCCTCTGAGATTACCAGGGAAAGATTGTCAGAGATCAATCGGTTTGTTTCTCTATGACAAAAAAAAAAAGGGAAACATAACTCTCTCATCAAAGATTTCGGAAGATTACTTAACTCACACATATCTAATAAACAACACAAAAAAGTTTTATTGCAAAAATGTCTTAATGCTTTTGGCACTCGGAAATTACTTAATAAACACACCACATATTGTTCTAATAATGATACAGTTGCAGTCACAATGCCAGCGAAAAACACGTATCTCAATTTTGAAAATCATCATAAGAAATTACTTCTTCCATTTGTAGCTTATGCTGATTTTCAATGTTCAACTAAACCAATGAATAATTGTGAACCTGATTGAAACAGATATCAGAAACATGAACCTTGTGGCTTTTGCCTCTACATTAAACCATTAATTATATTGACATTAATTGAACCAAAACCGTAATTGAACCAAACCCATCAGGTTACACAAAGAAAAGGGACGACGAAGACAGCAAAAGTATTTGCTCCAAAAAAAAAAAAACGAAAAAACGAAAATTACACAAAAAACTTACGATTATTTTTATAAAAATTCAAAAGATGATATTGTGAAGAGTGCGGTGATCCCATTTGGGAACACAGAAACGTAAACACACACGGCAGTTCAACAAACAGCCATCTGTAATTCATCCGTAAAACTACTTTACAACATCCCCCTTGTGGACTTGGGAGGGGAAATTCCCAACTCAGGTAAATTAAGGCATGGGCCCAGACTGAAAAATGCATTTTTTAAAAGAAATTAATGCTGTTCAAAGACGTTTCAATAAAATCAAACGAAATTTGGTCCACTGAAAGTATTCAGAATTCCGGTTACTCTGTTAAAAGATCACGCGATTTAGTCACGTGATTGACGTTTAAGGAACGCCGACAGGCGGTGAAAAATAGACCATTTTCAACGAAAAATGGCAACACTTTTTCCTTAACCCTTAACATATGCAATGATCTTTTGAAATGAAGGATACTTAAACTTTTAAACTGTGCTTGGCCTTTGAAGAAATAATGTGTGGTTTGGAAGCAGTTTCCAGCCAATCCAAAAACATACAATAAAACGATCATTTTTTGCGACTTTGAAAGCTAAATGGATTGATTTTCTGAAAAGGCCATGCACAGAAATATGGAAGACAGTATGATACATACATATTTGGAGGTTACAGCTGGGCAGCGAATGTAAAAAGTGTTGCCGTTTTAGAAAATACATTCCCCTTGAGACTGTTGTCAGCCATCTTGAATTCGCCATATTGACCGAGTAGTTGACTGAAAACGTAAGCTGGGAACGATAATTTCCGTTGCCCCGGACACGAAATGGCCAATAGGATCAATGATTCGATATCAGGCCTGGTTCAAAGATAGAAAATGGCGGACGAAAAAGGATCGATCTGGTCGAAGTTTGAGTCATTTTCCGTTGTTATCGCCGGTTTTATCGCACAAACATTTACAACAGACTCTGGAAAATCAGAATGGGTACTTCTTCTAATAGTAAAGTGGTCTAAATAATGTATATTTTCCTGTTTCTAAGTGAAAAGGTGAGAATAAATGTCTATGTAAATTGCAAAGAAATGCTTCTTGTATATATATATTGGTGTTGCCTGTTTATAAAATAAATTTCATGATTATTGCATACAGCTTAATATGAGCCTTCGTTGTCCTTTCTAAATGACATGCGCCAGGTTTTGGCGGAAAATTTAAGTTACCTAATTCGTAAGCAACGATCCGTTTCTGATGTATGTAGATAGGCTCTTTCTATAAAGATTGCAATTATCTCAAGGTTTTCTATATCAAAGTTTCATACGCGATTGGCTTGGTCTAAAAGTGAATTTCAAAAAGAAAGCAGCAATCCTTACACAATTCTATCAGCAAGAAGTGGCTGTGCTGTTAGTCTTGGCGCCATAAATGGCGTGTTTCTTTGGATGTGGATTTGCGCGAGTTGCAGTCAAACAGAGCTTCACAAATCCAACGGGAAAGGTGGAGTACGACCAAGACATCAGATTAAAAAAGTACCTTACAGTTTTTGAAGGACACCTAGAGCGATATGAGGTAGACAAGCATTCTTATGCAGGCCATCTGACAGGGTGCGGAAAAAAATGAAAAATTATGCGGAAATTTCGGGCAATATTATGCGGAAGAAAGTGCCAATTATGCGGAAAAGACAACAGATTATGCGGAAATTTCCAACGAAACGATCACGGCTTCGCAGCTCATTTCTAAAAAAACGATCACGGCTTCGCCGCTCACTTCTAACAAAACAATCACGGCTACGCCGCTCATTTCAACGCAAAGTACGGTAAAAACGATAAACGGAAATATCAACAAGCTCTTACCAAGAATTTGAGTTCATTACATCTTTTAAACATAATGCNCGACTTTCCCGCGCTCGTATCAAACGCAGTTTCTATCAGTTCCTGCTATTGGCTAAAATACAAACGCCATCTATCCAATAGAAATTAGCATTATAAAAAACTAGTTTCCAGGACACCCCAGAAAGTGCATGGAACGCCTGGGGGGTTAAAAAATGTGGTGTACGAACAAGCAACGAACAAACAGAGTATTTTCTCGCTGATTTGGGCAAAATATTTCTTCAAAATGATCAATCTCTTCACTAATTTTGCTTCTGAGGACGGTAAGCAATTCCACCTTTGCTTATATGGAGCAATTTTTTAGTATTGTGCGGAAAAATGCCCTCAAGATGCGGAGGATGCGGAAGTTGGTCAATTATGCGGATCCGCACCACCGCATCCTGTCAGATGCCCTGCTTATGACAAGCGCTCCAAGAGCCTTGTACACCATTTTGGAAAATGGAAGCTAAAAACTAACAAGGATAAATACACAGAACATTTCAGCCCCGGCAACTGGGAAAAACTGAGCTACTACGAAAAGAAGCAACACACTCGCACAAATTGCGAGGCTTGTTATACTCATCACTTTCCTTTTCAATCTTTATTTCCCATGTAGAATTTCAAAGAAAACTCTATTACACAACAAGGAATTCAGAAGATCATTAAGAGTCGTGTCCTTAAACCATCCTGCCGTGGAAATGTGAAGGTTACAAAAAAAGCTTTAAAAACTGTCACTTCACAGATTTATGAAAAAATCAATGCCCCATTTAAAAAAACATTCGGGGTAACATTTGCGAAGGCACAAACCAATGTACCTAAGTTAGGTCTTCAAGACAAAAAATCACATGCTGAAATGAAAAAGGAAAGGAGAAAAAAGTCCAGAGTTGACAAGAGTTGCATCCAAGAGAAATGGTCAGAAAAGGACTGCGACACCATGCTTTCTTGCAGACAGACGTACAGCCAGCGACAGGAACAGCGGTTGTCACTTTTCTTTGAAAGTCCAGGAGATGCAGAACAAAGGGCCAATAAAAGGAAGCAACAGGAAGAAGAAGGTCAACGTAAGAAGAAAAGGCACTCTCCAAGGCCAGAAGATCTTGACTTTGACAAAGACGGGCTCCTTGCGAAAGTAAACAAAATGAGTGATGGAGAAAGGGTGAGTAAAACAAACAGACACAATTTAAAAAATATATACATGGTAAAAAGCCACATTCAGGCCTAACAAATTAATAAAATAATATTAATGTACCATCTTTGCATTAGTAGGTAATATGAACACCGTATGATGTACCCTGTTCATGTGTATGTTTAAATATTTCAAAAATTAATTTGTGAAATATAAAAAAAAACTAGTACTTCATCATTATAATGATAAACTTAGAATTATAATATTTGTAAACAATTAACTAAAGCAGTATACTATTAATAATACGGTCCTGTTAAGTTTATTTAAGCAATAGGTAGACCTAATCACAAAGCTACACTCACAAAGGCAAAATAAACATGAATATAACAGGACAGAGAGAAATTTATGAGTATATGAAAAATATGAATTTAAATAGAGATCTTTTTTACTTTACTCTCAATGTCCAAGAATCTCTACTGAATTGTACATGTACACGTAGATGAAGCTTGCAATCTATTTCCAAGACTTGTCATGATAGATCTCATAAAGATTCGGAGTTCTAATAATTATTATTAGGGCCAATTTCTCACAGAGAACAGTCATGAATAAATCAAAATATAACTGTACATGTACATTTTTATTACTCCACAATTTCTATTTCAGCCCAGGTCTTAAGGGAGAGATTCCCAAATTTGGAGAGGTCGATTTTCAAAGGTTCCTTTTCCAGGTTCCCCTACACTGTACTGCTGTAGGTCACATGATTGTGCAAAATACTCTCTGGCGTTACATACATCTATTTAATATTCATGTTGTATTTTATTATTCTTTAGAGCAAAATTGAGAGTGGTGAGTTTGTTCTTGGTGAAATGATTGTCCCCCAAACATTCAAAAAGGTGTTACTGACAAAGGAAGGTACAATCAAGACAGAAAGATTTGCTGTGTCTGGCCGTAAGATTCCTCCCCTAGAAATAAGGACACGCATGCTTAAAGAGCATGAATCACTGGGTTTACTACGAATTCAAAGTGATGACTACTATACTTCCATGACAGATGCTGAAGTCAGAACCAGACGTCAACAACAGGGGAAGAAAGTGAAATTGAGGCTAAAGAGCGACTAAAAGCAATGGAAAGAAAGCGGCACCTTATGATTTGGGGCGACAACTCAACCTTGCTCAACCATGGTCACCTTCTACTGACAGTTAATTCAGTTTATGATGAGGCCCTATACTTCACCAATGAAGAAATGAAGGCTAATGGCAAAGGGGACATTGATGTGCAGTCTGTCGTTGAAAGACCTCATGTCAATATCCTGGGGCGATGCGGGTCCTCTGAAGTTGATCAGCTAGCCTACATTAACACCAGAAAGGACTGTTTACAGAGTCTGAATATCAAAATAACCACATCAAATGGAGTCGAGATTACTGACATAGTGAGTTTTTTTCATGGTGATGGCCCCCAGCAACAATTTGAGGCTGGTGAACAGAAAGGTGGAAATGCTGGATGTGCCAGTTGTAGCGGTGATGCAAGGATGTACAAAGATCTTGCAGTTTCTTTTTCAAGACCTCACCTTACTCTCTCAGAACGGCTAAAAAAAGTTCTACAAGGGCCTGCTGGAAAAAATAAAAGGAATGCTGGTTTAAAGCCATTTAAAGATCTTCATTTAGAAGATTTGCGAGATGAGTGCAGAGCCCGGGGCCTTGAAAGCAAAGGACAAAAGAAAGAGCTTCAGGAAATCCTCAAAGAAGAGATTGGTGGAATTCAACGAGTGCCTGCAATGATGTTCTTTGACCAAGAGAAAAAACTAGCAGACCTTGCTTTAGGTAAGCATTGCATACTGTCTAATACAAATGTTGTAAATATCAACAGATAGGTGTCTAGTAACCTGAATGATTTTTTGTCAGCTTTAAAAGAAATGTTCTGGGTAGGAGCAGGGTATATATTGTGAATGTTACTGCGCATAAATCTATAATGACCATTATGATCATTATGAAGTGTGCAATATAATTGATTATTACATAAATCAAAATAATAACAATAGGATTGTAAAAGAATGACGTAAAAAAAATACCAAAAAAACGCCAAAATATTCTTTACCATGGTCGATGGACTTAATTATATAAGGTACACCCATCTAATTATCAGGCATGCCATTCAAGATGAATGAAGCAAATATTTCACAGAAACATAATAAGCATAAAATTAAATAAATAAATAATGATTTGGAGGTACATGTAGCACATCCACAGAGTGGTTCTTCGTCTACCTGATCCCTGATCGAATTGGAATTTTGAATTAGCAAGTGACAGGAAATTGACCTGTTGGCTATTCACAATCATAATATAATGAAATTTATTTTTCAAACAGGAAACTATGAAGTCTTACCTACAGGGCCTCTCCACGATGTTAAAGAACATATTGCCAATGTTCTCACTGAATTGCCTTCACACCTAGAAAAAGATGAAAAAATTGCATTTCAGGACATCATTGAGTGCTCATTTGGTGGAAAGGAAAAGCTACGTGGTTGTGATTATCGACTTGCAGCTGTCATAGTGGCTCAGTACTTAAGAGGTAATGATCAAAACATTTAATTTACACTGTAATAGGGAAGATCTAATAATAATAAAAAAAAACAATAATTGCCTGACTACATATTATAGTCAAGCAATCAAAATTGCCTGACTGGTAATAAAATAATAACTAACAGCACTTAAACTAGGTAGGCTACCTGTAATGACTGCACTATTGACTGTTTCGTGTTGTTATCTCATATTAATAGGCAGAGCAAGGCCCAAAATACAGACACTCCTGGATTCCCTTACAGAGCTCAGTAAGCTTCTCTACTCGCCAGCCCAATCATGCTCTCCAAAGCTAGTGCATGCCATGACATGCAAAGAGGTCATAGGGCAACCAAAGTCCTTAACAAGCAGAAAGTTCTATGGCAGATACTGGCACTCTCTTACAGCTCATGCTGGCAAGCAGAGTAGGATTATCTCAGCAAAGTCAACCAACACCGAAGAGGAAGAATGGCACTTCAATACTCTGCAAGGTGTCGCCAGATTGACCTGCAGGAGACCTGGTGACATCATCACCCCAAGCCTGATCCGCCTTCAAGCAGAACAGAAACTTGCGGAAACTAAACAAGGCAATGCTGTTAAAGTGCAGGAATCACAGATTTCGAAATACTACAGCACTTTACCACCATTCACCAACACAACAGTACCTAATGATCACTTTATCATCAATAACCCCAAGGAGTACCAAGTCCATTTACAAAGCATCAGTGACTTCATTGCCTGTGGCGAAGGTGTCTGGTGGTGCCAGAACTTGTCTGGAGTGGAATTCTTGGATGGCCCTGATGAGCCAAGTACTAGACCCCAGGGACCAAAGCTTCACCACTTCAGGTCAAGTGATCTTAAAAAAGAATAACAATACCTTGAGCAGTGCTGGAGGAAATGCCTGAATGATGATGCTGTTGTTATCCCACACAGGATCATTAGATTGTACGACCCAAAAGGTGACTATACCAGAATCATACGTACAAATTTTTTACACAGGGAGGATGATGAAAATGATGCAGACAGTACACAAGATCAGGAAGGTACAAATGCAGATGATGCAACAGATCTGGAATGCCAGGGAGATTATCTAAATGAAGGTGAAACTGTAGAAGTCACTGACGAGGATGAAAGTGGAGAAGAGATAACAGGACTGGAAGAGGTTGTAACATCTGTTGTGAATGATCTGTCTAATGACTACACTGATGATGAGGATGATGATGACTATGATGCTTCAGAGCTACAGCCTCTTTCAGCACCACTCATATGTAAAATTACAAAGATGGGCAGTCAGCAGCATGAAAACATTCATGATACTGAACCTTTTGAAGAGAGTCAGATTCATCGACCAAGATGCAATGATGTGCAAAGCGCTAAAGGAAGCCATTCTCTTCCCAAGACCAACAGCCCACAAGAAAAAGAAATAAAAACCAAACTCGGCAAAAACATAGTGAAAATACTTGGGGAGACAGATTGTCTGTACAAACTGGATTCCGCAAGGCAAAATCTGAAAGAACATCCTACAAATGACTCTTGCAAAGCCAACTATGAAAGCCTTCTTGCTCCAGTCCAGACTCAAATACTGGCTCATCACACCTCCCTTAAAAAACAACACAAAGAATGGGAAAAACAATATTACCTCAGCCATGACTGTTGTGAACCAGGTTTAGAAGAAGTAAGAAGAAACAAGGTGCAATACTCGGTTTACAAAAACATGCTCTTGTGTAAAGAACTTTTGAAGTACTGGAAAATAACTGTTCACTTATGAACATTAAGTTGCACAACACAGTCATGTGAACTACATTTGTGCCACTTTATTTTTTGTAAATATAGAGCCAACTTATTTTTACAAACAAATATAAGATATATATTTTAACAAATATTTTCAATGATATACATGTGTGTCATAAAGCTAACACAATTCATAAAATCATAAAACCATAATGAATATGAAATTTAACTAAATTAAAAACCCTAATGCCTCGGCCCCTTTGGGGCCTCCGGGGTAGGGGGGTGGGGAACCGGGAAAATGAGGGAAAGCAGGATTTTATTGGCAGTGTGGAATCAGCCTTTTCCTTACTTCTATTAAAGAAGTAGCCGAAATAGAAATATGATGTAATCCCACAGGGAATTCCCCTTGTAACAACATCTGTCTGTTTTGACTTTGTTGAATATTTAAAGATTTTATTACATGAAAATTTGAGATTACACGAGATTTTTATGAAAAGATAAGAGTTTGTAAAAGTTCTATGAAAAGTTTGTGAATGAAGTAAAAAAAAATGTAAAATGATTTTAAGTTGGTGTAGGAAAAAAGTAAGTTGAATTAAAGAAATTATCTAATCTTTATGTAAAAGGATGCGTTCAGTCGATTTGAAAAATTATCAGTTGAAGAGTTGAAAAAGATGAAACAAAATGAGAAACAGAGTATAACGAATATAAGGAAAAACAAAAAAAGGGAAAACTAATAGTTGAAATAAATGAAAAAGAAAATCAAAGGACAAAGGTGAGAAAAGCTAAATAAAACAAACAAACAAAACAAAACCAAAGAAATCAACAAAACCCAAACCAAAGACATTTGAAGACATTTCAAGAATGTATTAAAAACAAAATGATTCCAAAAGATAGGCGAAAATATTTAAGAAAAGCTCTAGAAAGTTCATTGAAAGAGTAGGATGTTGGAAATATCAAACATGAAAATCGGCTCTTCAGAATTTTGTAGACAAATATGTAATTGAAGGAAAACCAGAAGTTACACCATTTGATTATTTTGAAAATGCAGCTCCTCAGTTAAAAGTTTTTGCGAGAAATCATAGAAGTATGAAAACTCGAATGATTATGTTCGTCATTATGGAAAAGATGGTGGTTGATAAAAAGAGATTTTTTACATTCAGGATAAATATTATTTTCATTCTGAGACATATAAATCTTAAAAAGACTGATATACAGGAATTACTTGAAGAATGTTAGTTTAAATACAAAGCAAGACTTCATCTTATTGAAAAAATGGTTCAGGTTGGTATTTTAAAGAGGGTATTGGATTAGAAACTATAAACTTGTAAAGGGATCCTCATATATTCTAGTTCCTGATTTTCTTAAAAGAGAAAGGCGATTGTTAACATAGAAAACAAAACTGATGATAAGTGTTTTATGAGACAAAACTGGATGCACGGCAGGCACTACGGCAAAGGGCTGATTTATTATAGGCTAATATTTCGCCTAACAAAATTAGCCTTCCTCGGGGCCAAAGCTATACCGAGAGAAATATCTTTTAACGGTTCCTAAAATTGGAATTTAAAATTTACATAATTGGTTAATAATTAACTACAGTTATTAATACTAGATAGAATAATATACAGGTAAATGATTATACCGTAAAAATAGAAATCAGACCGTCCAGTGACTGGTTTTTGCCTCTATGTATGAGGTACGCTTCTCTTGCCTTACGGCGTGGCATGCTGAGGGTGGGTTGTAATTCCAGCGGAATAAGTTCCCTGTCTACGATCGAGTGGCCAGGTTGATTAAAGTGCGAAGGGACTGCTGCTGTGGCGTTTGCGTGGAGTGAATTGGTTGTTGCCTGTCTATGTTCTTTAAAGCGTTCACGAAGTGTGCGTTTAGTTTCACCTATATATTGTTTTGCATCTTTTACATTGGATTATATATGTTAGGTTTGTTCAAACCGTCGTGACCTACTCGTTCGTGCGAAACTCGCAAACAACGACAGCACACCCATGCCCCCTGCCGGCGCATTCCGTTGCAACTCCAGACATGGCTGCCTCACCTGCCCATACATTAACCATTGAAAAACATCATACACTTTCACCAACACAGGAGAAACAAGACAAATTAAACATCACATCACTTGTGACAATAAGGGTTGATTTCCAGTGTCGCGTAATTTTTACGTGCGTACGGGCGTAAAATTGACGTTCGCAAATAAAATAGAGGCAATACATGAAAGGTCGCTCGTATAAGCGTAAAAGTTGAACCTCGCTCAACTTCTCGTTTAAGCTCAGCACTTTTTATTCTGCCTCTCTTTTATTTGCGTGATTAAAATTTAGGTGCGTTAATGTGCGTAGCCAAAAGACGTAAAAATGTTTGAGACACAAAATCCAAATATCCCCGGTATTAATGTATTTTCGATTAATGATCAAAATAAAATTTACCCTCTGAGATTACCAGGGAAAGATTGTCAGAGATCAATCGGTTTGTTTCTCTATGACAAAAAAAAAAAGGGAAACATAACTCTCTCATCAAAGATTTCGGAAGATTACTTAACTCACACATATCTAATAAACAACACAAAAAAGTTTTATTGCAAAAATGTCTTAATGCTTTTGGCACTCGGAAATTACTTAATAAACACACCACATATTGTTCTAATAATGATACAGTTGCAGTCACAATGCCAGCGAAAAACACGTATCTCAATTTTGAAAATCATCATAAGAAATTACTTCTTCCATTTGTAGCTTATGCTGATTTTCAATGTTCAACTAAACCAATGAATAATTGTGAACCTGATTGAAACAGATATCAGAAACATGAACCTTGTGGCTTTTGCCTCTACATTAAACCATTAATTATATTGACATTAATTGAACCAAAACCGTAATTGAACCAAACCCATCAGGTTACACAAAGAAAAGGGACGACGAAGACAGCAAAAGTATTTGCTCCAAAAAAAAAAAAACGAAAAAACGAAAATTACACAAAAAACTTACGATTATTTTTATAAAAATTCAAAAGATGATATTGTGAAGAGTGCGGTGATCCCATTTGGGAACACAGAAACGTAAACACACACGGCAGTTCAACAAACAGCCATCTGTAATTCATCCGTAAAACTACTTTACAACATCCCCCTTGTGGACTTGGGAGGGGAAATTCCCAACTCAGGTAAATTAAGGCATGGGCCCAGACTGAAAAATGCATTTTTTAAAAGAAATTAATGCTGTTCAAAGACGTTTCAATAAAATCAAACGAAATTTGGTCCACTGAAAGTATTCAGAATTCCGGTTACTCTGTTAAAAGATCACGCGATTTAGTCACGTGATTGACGTTTAAGGAACGCCGACAGGCGGTGAAAAATAGACCATTTTCAACGAAAAATGGCAACACTTTTTCCTTAACCCTTAACATATGCAATGATCTTTTGAAATGAAGGATACTTAAACTTTTAAACTGTGCTTGGCCTTTGAAGAAATAATGTGTGGTTTGGAAGCAGTTTCCAGCCAATCCAAAAACATACAATAAAACGATCATTTTTTGCGACTTTGAAAGCTAAATGGATTGATTTTCTGAAAAGGCCATGCACAGAAATATGGAAGACAGTATGATACATACATATTTGGAGGTTACAGCTGGGCAGCGAATGTAAAAAGTGTTGCCGTTTTAGAAAATACATTCCCCTTGAGACTGTTGTCAGCCATCTTGAATTCGCCATATTGACCGAGTAGTTGACTGAAAACGTAAGCTGGGAACGATAATTTCCGTTGCCCCGGACACGAAATGGCCAATAGGATCAATGATTCGATATCAGGCCTGGTTCAAAGATAGAAAATGGCGGACGAAAAAGGATCGATCTGGTCGAAGTTTGAGTCATTTTCCGTTGTTATCGCCGGTTTTATCGCACAAACATTTACAACAGACTCTGGAAAATCAGAATGGGTACTTCTTCTAATAGTAAAGTGGTCTAAATAATGTATATTTTCCTGTTTCTAAGTGAAAAGGTGAGAATAAATGTCTATGTAAATTGCAAAGAAATGCTTCTTGTATATATATATTGGTGTTGCCTGTTTATAAAATAAATTTCATGATTATTGCATACAGCTTAATATGAGCCTTCGTTGTCCTTTCTAAATGACATGCGCC